CTCCTCTTCTTCGGCCTTGATTCGAGCAGCCTCAGCAGCAGCCTCTTCCTCCGCCTTCACCCGGGCAGCCTCCTCTTCTTCGGCCTTGACCCGGGCAGCCTCCTCCTCTTCGGCCTTCACCCGGGCAGCCTCCTCCTCTTCGGCCTTGATTCGAGCAGCCTCGGCAGCAGCCTCTTCCTCAGCCTTCACCCGGGCAGCCTCCTCCTCTTCGGCCTTCACCCGGGCAGCCTCCTCTTCTTCGGCCTTGATTCGAGCAGCCTCAGCAGCAGCCTCTTCCTCCGCCTTCACCCGGGCAGCCTCCTCTTCTTCGGCCTTGACCCGGGCAGCCTCCTCCTCTTCGGCCTTCACCCGGGCAGTCTCCTCCTCTTCGGCCTTGATTCGAGCAGCCTCGGCAGCAGCCTCTTCTTCGGCCTTGACCCGGGCAGCCTCCTCTTCTTCGGCCTTCACCCGGGCAGCCTCCTCTTCTTCGGCCTTGATTCGAGCAGCCTCAGCAGCAGCCTCTTCCTTGGCCTTGACCCGGGCAGCCTCCTCTTCTTCGGCCTTGATTCGAGCAGCCTCAGCAGCAGCCTCTTCCTTGGGCTTGACCCGGGCAGCCTCCTCTTCTTCGGCCTTCACCCGGGCAGCCTCCTCTTCTTCGGCCTTCACCCGGGCAGTCTCCTCCTCTTCGGCCTTGATTCGAGCAGCCTCGGCAGCAGCCTCTTCTTCGGCCTTGACCCGGGCAGCCTCCTCCTCTTCGGCCTTGACCCGGGCAGCCTCAGCAGCAGCCTCTTCCTCGGCCTTGATTCGAGCAGCCTCGGCAGCAGCCTCTTCCTCGACCTTCACCCGGGCAGCCTCAGCAGCAGCCTCTTCCTCGGCCTTGATTCGAGCAGCCTCAGCAGCAGCCTCTTCCTCGGCCTTCACCCGGGCAGCCTCAGCAGCAGCCTCTTCCTCAGCCTTCGCTGGCACAGCCTCATCTTCCTCGGCATTCACCTGGGTACCAGTCTTATCGCAAACAACAAGCACAGCATCTCCATCTCTGGGCCCAAGTCGATAGTTTTCACACGCCTCGCCCACAGTAAGCCCGCTGCTCACAAGCTCGCCGCTTCTGCAGACACGGAGCACCGCGTCCGACCCCGTAAATCCAACCTTGGCTGCAGCCTTGGCTATCAGCTCAACTACGCTCTTGTTGGCAGCGAGAAGCACCGTCTTGACCGGCCCGCCTTCGGCTTGAACCTTGATCTTGATGTAGCCCGAGACCTTGACCGTCGCCCGTCGCACCGGCTCCGCCTCGGCCATGTCGCCAGCCTCGTCGTCTGAATCGTCCTCGTCGTCGCGCTGCGCAGCAGCCAGTGCGCTCCGCATCTCGTCCATGTTCGACAACCCGCGGTCGCGCTCCACGTAGTGGTATCGATGCATGGCCTTCAGGGCCTGCACCCAAGCGGCAGACTCGGCAGCCGAGCTCGCGCACAGCTGGTACCGCCGCTCGCGGGTAACAACCTCAAACAGCGCGTCCTTGAGCTTCTTGGACGGCGGCGCCACGTTGCCGGGCTGCCGCTCCACCTGAGTCATCATCGCCAACGAGATGAACGAGATCGGCTCGTCCTCTGGGCTCTTGCCGTAGTACAGCCGCGTCGAGTCGAGCCGGAAGAACCGCTTCTTCCACGTCTTGCGCAGGCCCTTGGCCCCCTTTTTCTGGAGGTAGCCCTCCAGCCCCGCCGGCTACGCACCCTCCACGCATTCCCATCCCACTGAGTGAGCCATCCACTCGCTACCGGCCCTTCTCCATGCCCTCAACCGTAGCAAAAACCAGTGCCTGTTCCCGTCGCCCACACACCACACCCCCTGCAAACACTGCACACACGCACACGCACGCACACACTGTCGTACCTCATCATCTGCACCGGTATTGCTCATGCCTCTCTTGCTCACCAACTTCTATCCTCGTCCTCGCGCCCCAAGCCTCCTCCACAGGCGTGGGCGCAGGTGCGAGTTGTGTGGGCGGTCGCGAAGCGCCGTCAAGCCACCAGCTGATTCCGACCAGCCGACGATCGGACCTGGCCGAGGGGGGGGGGGGG